GTGTGTGTGTGTGTGTGTGTGTGTGTGTGTGTGTGTGTGTGTGTGTGTGTGTGTATTATTTGTGTCTTCTTACAGTATATTTTAGTGGGTGATGGAAGTACACCATCCTCCTCCTGCAGGTTTTCAGATGTGTGAGGAACGGTACCTTCGAGTGTACGTTCTCCATAGACTGCTGGTGGGTTGCTAAGCAACCCAGCGTCTGCACTGTGAAGTGGGGGGTGCGATGAAAGAGAGGCACCAGGTCAACGCAGGCAGACACACAAGTGTTGCTGCATCTGAACGGACACGTCTGATGCCTGCGATGAACGAGGCCGATCATTATCAACTTTATTAGGTTGATGTCTCAGACTGGTCCTTGTTGGGGGGTCTCTACACGGTCTAACACTTTGTGAGTGGGTAAAAAAATAAAATAAAATAAAATAAAAAAGCTGATAAAGTTTGCCTGAATCCACAAGGTAAAAACTGCTGCAAAAGCTATTTAACACATTTTATATCCTTCAGGTTTTGACTTATTATGAGTCACATGTGATTCAGCAGAACTATTTGTTTTTGCCATCGTCAAGCTTTTTTTTCTTCACATTACATCTCGCTACAGTTAAAGGCCTAGCTTTCCCTAAAGAAACTGATTTTCCCCACCTTACTTTTCCCTTTGAGATTAAAACAAAAGTTGAAAATTAATGGAGTTTCAACTCTTTATGTCAAACATTGAAAACAACTGTCTTTTGCAACATCACACAATGTCCTTCGAGTATATTTTGTAAATGACTCTGAACACATCGATTTTTAGCTCGATATCAGCAAAACAGACTGAATTTTAACCATTTTTTGTGTGTTTTCCAAGGTCAGTTGGCAGCCATCTTGTATCGGTTCCAAAATGTCATCAGTTGATGAAAAACGTTCAGTGATCTTTTCCTGAAAGTTTCATTAAAATTCCTCAAGTGGTGTGTAAGATATTTTGCTAACAGACAAGCACACTTGGCTATAAATATTTAAGTAATCAAAAAAATTCCTTGGAAAAAGGTCTCAGCTATCATCACACTAAATTTTAGTTCAATATCTACAGTGTTGTATAAAGTACCACAAAGTGATACTTGAGAAAAAATACATGTATTTCACCAAAACATTACTTTGGTAAAATTTAGTCTCTTTTAGGAATATCTAAGTAAAAGTCTTGAAGTATCTGATATTTTTTGTTCTTAAATATTAAAAGTAAAAGTATTGATTTAAAATGAGCGGTTAGATTTTATGTAAGGACATTTATTAGGAGGTGACCTCCCCAAAAAATACAGAAATGACTGCCGTATTAAAATAATTAATTTATGTTAAATTTAGGATGCACTAGTCTATCTGTTTCAGTTTATATACATATGGGTGCCCAAAACCTTTCTTCAAAAATGAAAATTTATCTGAGAGCAGCGGCCAAATGCAATAATATAATTCATGAAATACAAATACTTCTTAAGTACAGTACTTTTTTTTAATGATTATGTCCTGCTGGAATCTGTACCAGAATTTTATGTATTTATACTTCTCATTCAACTACAGGAGGCACAATTTGTATGGATAGTATTTTTTTTTTTACAATAACAAGCTGGAATGAAAACAAGCAAAATGAAATAAAAGTAACAACTTTCTACTTCTTGCCTTTTTTTAATGTAAGGAGTACAGACAATTGTGTGAAAATGTAAGAAGTATAGCAAAATGTAGGCTAAAAGATAATTACTCAAGCAAAGTACAGATACCCAAAAATTCTACAGTAACAAAGTATTTGTACTTAATTATTTTACAACTCTGAATATCTATAAAATGAAGAGTTAAAGTCATTTTTATATTGTTTTTTTGGGGTGATCATAAGGTCATTTCAGACTTTGCACAACAAGCCAGTCAACAAATAATCCTATCTTTCTCCATCTGTGGTCTGAGAATATTTAGCGTTCTTATGAAATTTTAAACGGAGATAAAAAAAAAAACACCCGTCTCCCCACCATCTGGTGCTGAAGATGATGCGAGGACTGAAACAGTTCAGATTTATGACAGGGCAGAGGGCCCAGATCAGGGAGGGGATGGTGGGTGGTCACGCCTGCTGTCAGAGCCAAGTCTCTCCACGCCTGAATGGTCCAGTGTCTACAGGAGACAGACTGCTGCCACCCAGGCAGGCCCAGGCAAGGTCAGGCCAGGTTAACAAGGACAAGCTGACATAGATTTACTGTACCTGAACAAACCTGACACATGACGAGGTGGGTGGGGGATGACCAGTTTGCACTCTGACAATATGGCAGGTGAGGCAGGTTTTGTGTCAGAAAACACTGAAATCTGTAGAAACATGGTTGTATTTATTGGAAATTTTTTAGAGAAACAAATGAATATTTAAAATAAAAACATTTTTCCCCCACTAAGGCCCTGAACCTCTTCGTACGAAAACATATCCCTGCTTGTCTCATCAGAAAGCTGTTGATTTCAGCAACTTGCTTATCATTTTGCAGCAGTTCCTTTAGGACAAACCAGAGATAACAGGTAAGTTCATTCTATATTTTAAATTAACATTTCAAAGTTTAATACTTGACGCAATAATAAGTCGTTCAAAAGTGCGTAAGCTAGGCTTGCACCTGATGCTAACACGTTAGCCACATTAGCAGCTGTTTGCTAACACGTTAGCATAACACAAACCCAGGTGGTTTGGATTGATAGTAAGCAGTAAAATAGCTAAAAAAAAAAGAGATTGAAGAAGAGTTTACACATACTTTTTAGCCTTTTGTTTGTCTTTTTACAGTTATTAACGAGAGTGGTCAGATCTTACTTTAACTAATTAGCTACAAGTGTAAAATTTAGGTATAATGTTTTGAGTTTATTACTTTTACTAAAATTATTTAGAAAACAGGCAGTTTCATTGCTTTGTTTAGATCTGAACCATTGATCCAAATGTCACTTCATCATGAATAATGGGCATTCCTTCAAGGAATCATGGGCTTTTATTGATTTTTGATTTTCTCAACACCGACCTCCAATATGCAAACAGTATTCTGTTGGCCCTAATGCCTTTTCCCTTTAATTTCAGCTGATGCCAATTTAGTCAGTAATTGACGTGCAAATTAAGAAAGTCAGACCGGTAGACATTCAAACACATAAACAAAATCTAAAAGCAATAAAGATATTTGCATTGTTACTCACTTTCCTCTCAACATTTATGAAGAGATGGTTGGAGAAAAGAAATCTCTTACAGATCTAAGTGTTTAGCCAGACTTGATTTTTGGTAATAAGAGACCTGCAGGTAGCTAGAACTACAGTATAGAGTGTATAGGATTCAATGAACTTAGAATGTATAGTTATGGCCTTCAGTGAGCATCGAAAGGAGGACAGGACTGTGGAGTGTGGATCATGACTGGTAAGTAGTGTGTGTGTGTGTGTGTGGGGGGGGGGGGGGGGGGGGTGGTGAGGATGTCAGTCTTGAAGTACGTAAGATAAACAGGTCTTCTTGTTCGTAGGGAGGGTTAAAGCCTGGCGGCAGACAGCCAGCAGCAGTGATGGCACCAACTGTCTCTGGCAGCCCGCGCTCTGCTGCTACGCCAACCGAAGCCTCTTTAGGTCATCACTGATGAACACTTTAAGGAGGGATTGACAATGTGAGTATGTACAAAGAGCTTTGTTCATAAATTAAAATGCAATAAATTAAAGTGGCAAATATCAGGATCACTTGTTTAAGATGGTACTATGCTACTTCTAGGTATTTTTTGAAAATGATAATTTAGTTTTATTTTCTAATTCTAGCTCAGAAGCTAAGAGATGTCAGTTGCAGCACTAATCTAAAAATTAGTTCCACTAGCTCTAAAGCACTAACTCAAATGTTTAGGTCCCCTAATTCTAAAGCACTAGCGCACCGAAAAACTTAGCAAAAGCTGAATCTAAAGCACTGAAATAACCCAATCAACCCAYGAACATTCTTYAACAGACAGCATGAGTCACATATTGCCACGCTGCTCTCTCAAGACTTCTTGTTGACATTCCACTGTCGTATTTGGGTTCATATATTGTTAATATATTGTCACCTAGTGGATAAGTGACACACATATGAACAAAATGTGTGACAGCTTTCACTGTCAGTTGTTAACATTAAAGTTGATCAATAACGTTTATAGACCTCAGTTAGTGCTTCTAAATTTAGCATATAAATTTAGCAAGTGCTAATCCACTAATAAATCCTAAAATTAGCAAAAGCCCTAAAGCACTAATCAGGAAATTAGTTCCCCTATTAATGCTTTAGGGGAATTGTGCCTACCACTGACAAAAAGCATAGACAAAAAGTGTTTTATTTATTCAGTCCAGTCAATGCAAAATAAAAAAAAACTACATTTTTAAAAGTGGTGGTAATCCACAACTGTGCAGCTGGTCTGTTTTTAATACTGTATGGACAGAACAACATTTTTAATTAGTATTTTTGGTAGCTTGTTATTTTTTCTAGTTGAAAACATGATCAAAACTTCTTGTTTTGTTGCATATGAGTCTGATGCTTGTTAGCATTTTATATATTATATTTTGGTGTTTTAAATGGACAAACACCAAAGATAAGGTTTTGGAAGACATATTTTGATTGACACCTTTTCATTTAACCAAAGTCTTCTTTTGACAAGAATACTCTGTTGCTTATGTGTCGTAATACTACAAGTTATTTATGATTTCCCATTTTATTCCATGATAATGAACCCAACTTGTAGTTTTATGTGCTGTAACACTACAAGTTGGGTTCATTATCATGGAATAAAATGGGAAATCATAAATAAATTATTTTACATACAGTAGTGTTAAAAATAAGCAATGTTCTTTACCCTTTACCTGTTCAGGTCTAAAACCAGTTAATAATAATGACATGCGAATGTTTGAGTGAGCCATACAAAACCATTCAGACACAGCTGCGGACTGATTAGCTTTTTTAATGTGTCTCCGTTAGGCAGCAGCTAAGCAGTGACCAGAACCAGGAAACACATCCAGAAACAAACCTGTTTGCGTCCTGACCCCACCTCATGATATATGTTAAAGGGGCAGACTGTCTCTACACGGAGTCAAGATGTCAGACATTATTCCTCACCCTAATGTATAATCACAGTTATAGGTGTTGTTTTTAAATCAGGAGTGCATCTAACTAAAAGCCTCCTGAGTCTGTGAAACCCTGGTCGAGAGTCCCACAACCCAGTCTGCACATAAAACCATCAATTAAATCAGAAATAACCACATTATAAAATTACTGTTCACCTAATAAAAGACAATAGAATGTGTAGTGTCTTTAAAAGTCAGTAGTAAACAACCCCAATAGTAGTATCATGTTGGAGATCATTTTCAAGATTATTTATGGCAATAGTGTTGATGCTTTTTTAAAAAAATGATTGTGTTCCAAACAATATAAATGATTTCTCTGTCTGTGTCAAGGTTTGTTGTAAGTCGGTCATGTCTCCAGGTGAATCCTCTGCTTGTCGCTGTAGTTCACACTCAGCAACAGAAGGGGAAAAAAAATCCTCTTCATTAATCACAACCTTTCAGGACACTCCGCTGTTTCCACTGTACCGCCCACATCTCCATCCTCTTTGCTTCTTCATCATAGTTAATCACCYACAATCAGCGGTTGGACAGCTCTCAGTTCTCTGGACGATTGGCTGCGCTTCACGTGAGGGTGGGGCCTGCACTGATGCATCATCGGAACGTACCAGCGCAGCAGGAAAGCTCCTCWCTGACTCTCCCTCCCCCTCTCCCTGCCTCTCACTCTGCCTCTCGTTTCATACGCAGAAGCACAGACTGCAGCAGAGCTCAGGGCCGGCAGGATTTTCCCTCCTCGCACCGGAGCAGCCGAGACGCCGGAGGGACACCAACCTGCTGCGGAGGTCGTTTATGGGTGATCCGCTGAGGAGGATTTAACCTGCGAGCCGCTGACACCGTAGGTAAATGTGTGTTTATCCCACCGTAGGTTTGGTCCGTGTGTGTGTGTGTGTGTGTCCATGCATTTGAGTTCACTGCAGAAACAGCAGCACTGCAGATACTCCGACCAAAAAGCTTCTGCTCATCCCTCCCCCTSTCGCTTCCTTCCTCATCTTCTCTCGAAACAACCAGGGACTTTCTCGTGTTTTCCAAAACAACTGCAGTGTGGACATGTGTGCTGTCCAATCAAGCTGATGTTTCCGACTCATCCTCCCTCTCTGCAGGTGCACATCTGGCTCTCGGAGGCAACTGCCAGGACTCCTAGAAGCACCCGTCTCTCCTGCGGGACTGCCCCACTCCCCTTTAGGATGCTCGGCTGTGCGGCCCTGTGCTGAGACGGCGTCGGTGGGCAGCAGCATGGGCGCTGTGCTGACCGGCATCCCCATCACCCCCTCCGCCACCAATCTGCCACCGCCACGCCGCCCAACGGAGACGGGCGCTCCCCCCAGCCCTGCTGATGGGCGAAGACACTGACGCCACCCCGACGCTCAACCACCACGGCTTCCTCCCCGACCACAACTATGTGACTGAAGGTAAGAAGAAGACAGAAGGAGCCGCGCGTGTGTGTGTGTTTGGATTGTGTTTGCGTGTACAAGGTGAATCTATTAGTAGAATCTTTGAAGAGCATGTGTGTGAGACCAAATGAGATTAGGACGGTTTCCTAATCTTCTGTAAGCTCTGGGTTGATGTGCTTCAGACTTTGGAGTGAAATACAACTTCATTCTGTCTGTGTTTTTTCCCCTTTTCATTTTATATTTGTATATTTGCAGCCATTCTTTCACTGCGCAGTGTAACACATATATTTTATAATTTTGCCACACAGCAGGGGAGGAGTTGATGTTTGTCTTCTAATCACGTGTAACCTCAGAGAAAAAGGGAGAATATAAAAAAATGTAGTTTCTAGTAGAATATGTGTATTTTTACAAACAAAAACAAGCTGGAATCTTTAAAGGAGACATATCATGTTTTTAAATCCTTCCCTTTCACATTTAAATATTTCAGTTGAGATCTATATAAAGTGGAACTGCAAATCTTTGGTCTGAATTCCTCCTTATTGTAACTCCACAAGCCCCTCTTTCACCCCTTTTCCCTGTTGGGTCTCAGATTAACTCATTTCGGTGCTGTCTCTTTAAAGGGGGAGGGGGTATTTTTCAGTTCAATTCTACACCACAGTCAAGTAACTGTTGCCTTCAGCTGCTATGAAAGATATAAATGGAAAGATAAATTTGACTTTGCTTCATCTAAAAGCCTTGAAATTGGCCTCTGTCTCTTTAAGGCCCTCCTACTGTTTCTGTCATTCCCACTTCAACACGTCATCACAGCAGTGCTTTGGGGGAGGGGTGCTCTGTGGGGTGGGAGCTTGGCTGCAGGGAGGAGCTTTGAGTAAATAGGCGGTGCTTTGTACCAGCAAGCGTTTAGGCAGCTCCACATGGCTTCCACAGGAGATTCAAGGATTTCTCAAACATGCATGAATGAGTCAAAGCACCACTCTGGGTATGTTTTTGACGAGGGAATGACGTTATTAAATAATATAAAGCTCAAAAAAGTTGATTGTGCATACCTCCCCGCCCTGCTTAAATGCCAATGAGGCACTTCACACCCTGCAATCCTCAGAGCGGTCCATTCTATCCCATTCAGCCAATTTTGTAGTTTGATAGTAGAAATACGACAATATAGCAGCAGACTAAATAGTTGGTAAGTCCAGACCTTATTAAGAAGTTCCACTGCAAATACTGTGATGTTAATGTTCATTAAATGTAATAGGAAATAGAGAAAACAGAACAGTTTGAAAAATATTCCCTAACAGCATATAAAGATATCTGCACAACACCGGCAGAGACTAAATTCACATTGTCTGCACGCTTAGAGACTCAAACAAAATGCATATAATGGCTAAAAAAGTGGATTTTTCATGATACGTCCTCTTTAAACTTTATACTTGCAAAAGATTTCAGCTGCCTGTCATCACCAGACACACACACA